CACTCTGTTTTTTTTTTTTTTTTTTTGGATCCATCAACATTTTATTCGCCGAGAAAGTAAACGCAACCAACGGGCCTACTGCCCAGTTAGTGCACCCATGCCCGTGGGCAAGGTCCCACTTGCCCGAATTAGGAGATTTCGGCCGTTGATCTTTGCAATCTACGGTCAGTATCTCTTAATTCGTGCAAGTGGGACCTAGCCCCGGGGGCCAAGTCCCACTAGCAGCGTTGAGCTCTACCTCAACGCCTGAATCTGGAGGCTTTTGCGGAGATGTGCAGAAATGGTGTTGAGTTTCCTAAAATGCACGTCTCCGCAAACTCGTCCAGATTCAGGCGTTGAGGTAGATCTCAACGCTGCTAGTGGGACTTGGCCCCCGGGGCCAAGTTACACTTACCCCAATTCTTAACATGTGACCGTAGATTACGATGATCGGCGGCCAGAAATGAACAATCAGGGTAAGTGGGACTTGGGCCCCGACCACACTATTCCAACCCCTACCATCTTCACCCGAATACAACGCCCGGTCATTATCGATGTACCGAGACGGAAAGTTGAACCAGGTTAGTCCACTACGTATGAATACGGTCATAATGACAGGGCGTTCTATTCGGGTGAAGACGGTAGCCCCGGGGCTAGGTCCCACTTAATACACGAATTAAGCGATATTGACCGTAGATAGCAAAGATCAACGGCCAGAATCTCTTAATCCGTGCAAGTGGGACCTTGCCCCCGGTTAGTGCACCCATGAGCTGTTGGAACTTGGATGAAATAGCGACGGAAGCTAGCGGGGCCCAAGTCCCACTTACCCAAATTCTCAACTTCTGACCGTAGATTACGAAAATCACGGCCAGAAATGAAGAATCAGCGGAAGTGGGACTTGGCCCCGGGAGTGGTGTGGCGATGCCCTTGGCCTGTCTCTTATACACATCTAGATGTGTATAAGAGACAGTCTTTGTATCTTTCCAATTTTAACAGATGTCCCGAAGGACATTGGGCCTTCTTTTTTACCTTCTTCTTTTCTTTTTTTTTTTTCTTTCTTTTTTTTTGAAATGACG